TCTTTTTAAAAAAACAGATCCATTTATATTTTATTATAATTTTTTATACTTTTCCTTAAAATCTGAATGTCATTTGTGTTTCTCTTATACAGTACTAGCCTACCTGAATGACTGAAGAAAAGCAATTAGACACAACGATCACATTTCTATTTCCCATTCCCCTTATTTTCTGCATTTACAGATTGTGTTTTGTTTTGTCTGTTCAACTTTTAATAGACTATTAGCTAATGTTTAAAAACTATCTAGTAATTAAAGTAAAAACATGTTACTCTCTACCTTTTTTGATAAAGTGACTATCTCATGGAATTATGATCCACATGGTTTTTCTTGATGTTTATTCTCACTGCATAATTCTATTCAAATTTATTCCATGACATATCTTGAAATCTAAGTCCTTTCTCTTCCCACCTACTAATACCTCACTCTTTTATCTTGTTAAATAAAAATTAAATTCTATCTTCTGATATATTTCTCAAACCTTCCCATCAATTATATAAGGTAGATAATCATTCTTTCTATTTTATAGATAATTATTCTTTCTATTTTATAGGAGCTGAGGTTCAACAAAGTATATTGATGATTTTAGGTTTAATAAAGCAAATGCACCATGTTTTCTTTTTTGGATGATTGTGAGTTAGGCTGAGGGTTTAGAAGAGCCCCAAATAGTCATATTTTTAGTAAATCTTTAAATCCATTTATTTAGATACTCTTCTATGTTTCTGACACAGAGGTTCTGATATATGGAACCTCTTTTTTTATTTAAAAAAGGTTTTATTTATTTATTTTTAGAGTGAGGGGAAGGGAAGGAGCAATAGAGGAAGAGAAACATTTATGAATGAGACAAACATTAATGTACGAGAGAAACATTGATCGGCTGCCTCTCACATGCCTCCACCTGGGGACCTGGCCCTCAACCCAGGCATGTGCCCTGACTGGAAATAAAAGTAGCAACCTTTTGGGTGTGGGATGACCAACCCATGAGCTACACCAGTCAGGGCTAGAACCTCTCTTTTAACTGAGCATATGATTGATCTGAAAAAGTTCCTTATCCTCTCTTCTGTATCTACACTTTAGTTTGTAAGTTCCCTCACTATTTTCTGATCCTGGTGTGCTGTTGGTATGATCTCATATCTTGAGGAAACCCATTGTATGTTAACAGGAACTTGCCTAATCTGATTCTTATTTCATCAAATAGAAAGAAAATATTTACTTGACAAAAAATTGACTAAACATATAGTGCTTTCTGAGGAGGGGAAAAAAACTTTGTTTAATTTGCCAAAGGTCTTTGTTAAGATAATTTTCACTGGTGCAGTTGCCCAGAATGACTGGTCAGGTCATTCGCCTGGAACTAACTCTTGGGATATATCTAGTTGTCCATCACGAGATTCATCAAAGAACCCTTGAGTTGGGAATATCATTGGCATTTCTCTTGGATGCCTGGGATAGCACCTGGATGTTTAAGAATGGGCTTTAAAAATATATATCTGTGCCACTGTTGCTTAGAATTTCCAGTGTGAGAAGGATGTTTTTGTATCACACTAGTCACCTCCTCTGTCCCCCAACCCTGACCCTGTCACCAATGTACTGGTTTTCTTCATATTTGCAGCAAAATCTTATACTACTAAACAAGCACACACCACCACTGTTCTACAACCAAGACAAACATAAAAAACACAGGAAGAGTCTCAGGTTCAGAGACTAACGTCTGGTACATTAACTAAGTTTTCAAAAGTAGTATTATTTACATCCCCAAAGCAAGGGAACAGTGATTCATTAATTGTTACAGAATATTATTTTTCAGTCACCCAGTTCTTATGTAGTCATTCTAATTTGAGGAATTTTACTGTACTGGTTTTAATCTAAGATATGCTGCTATTACCAATCATTACCTGGCTTTTTCTTTCTGTTTCTGATATGAAAAAGGGGGAAAAATACAAATACACAGTGTTTTCCAAACTTATATGATCAAGAAGTGTGTGTGTGTATGTGTGTGTGTGTATGTGTGTGTGTGTGTGCGCGCGCGCGCGTGTGTGTGTGTGTGTAGTATGGGCAAAGAAGAAATAATGCATTAAGTCTGAAGGTAAATAAATCATGTTGACAAGGAGAATTGTGCCTGAGTGTTTTAGAGGTTGAGAAGAACCTGGTGCTAGCATCTCTTCTTGAACTTATTTTGAATGTCTTGCTTTTCTTAGGACTCTTGGAACTTTACAAACCAAGCATGGAGTGAAGAGCTGCCTTATAAGCATCATCTGTGCAGATATTTAAGATCTATACTTAATGGGCACTAATGGTTTCAGGTGGGAACTTTATAGTAAGATGAGATTATTCCCCTAATGAATTTCAGTGTGAAATTTCCAAATCGGTAACCTATATGTTATCCAGTCTAAGTATTAGTTTAAAATAAACTATTGAGTCGTACAAATATTGATTGATACTGGCCCTTGCTTAAGTAATTTAAACATGTCTGTGAATTAAGTTATTACCAATTACTGATAGGCACTAATGAAGGTATAAATGATTAGCTTTAAATTTAAATGATTAAGTTTTATAATAAACATGAAAACAAGGTCTGAATTAATTATATGCTATTATTAAGAACAACTATGGATCTTTATATAGTCAAAAAATATTTACGTAGTTCTCACAGTAGATAATATGAGAGCCTTTAAACTTACTTCACAAAGTAGCTCGTTTCCCTGATGTGGAGTTTGTCACCCCAAACAAATTCTCCAGTGGTGCCATAATAATTTCATGAGTAAGAAAAACTGCAAACATGTGAACAGCAAATATAATATATAAAAAGCAGAACAAGAACTCTTTCATTCATCTCTGCTAAGTTCTCAGCTTTATTTTAAAGATTGGAGATAAAATCAACCAGTAAAAGCTGATCCATGGAATTTCTGTAACTCCCAAGTGGCTCTTTTGCTTTGCTAATTAAATGTTAGAAATATATGTATATTGTAAACTAACCCATATTATCTAAAACTGGGCATAATAATTCCTTTCAGATAGCTTGTACACAGAAAGAATAGGTTGCTTCGTGAAAATGGCATGGAAAAATGATGAAATATTGCTTATTTTTATCTTTGACAAAAGTGAAAATACTATTTTCTGGAATCCAGGTAGAGGACTCTTTTTATCATCTGCCAGAAGAAAAAGCATTTTTCATAAAATTGAGTATATGCCTACAAATTCTAAATCTGTGTTTATGTAGACCTTGGGTAAACTGATAGATATCTCCTTAGACAAGATCTGGGGGGTGGATTAAAAAATCCTGAGCCACATACATCCTTCCCATATCATACTGTGTAGAGACAGCTGCCCTCTAGCTCAGTAGTCGCAAGCTTTAGTTCGTACCAGATTCACAGACTAATGGCCCCACTCATAGAGTTTCTGATTCAGTAGGTTTACGGTGCAGCTTGAGAATTTGCATCTGTATCACATTCCCAGGTGATGCTGATCCCAGGGACTACAATGAGAACCATTGCTCTGGCTTGTATTCTATAAAAGTATATATATATTTTTACATAGAACACTTTTATATTTAGGCTTCTATGCCTTGTCAGTATTGTGCATATTGAGCAGCCAGTGATTTAGACCACTTGTTTAAAAATGTGGCCACTGCCCCGACCCCTGTGTGGCTCATCTGTAGCAATGTTCCTCTCCCTTCCTTCCCCTCTCCCTAAAAAAATAAATAAAGTTAAAAAAAATGTGGCCACTGTTTGGAATCCATACGAGCCATGCCTGAACCCTACTGGAACTGGGGTGGGGCTCTCCTCTCTCACAGGCTCTGGTTCACTCATGGCCTTCCTGCTTTGTTCCTTTCACCTGCACTGCAAAGGTTAATTGTATTTACCCACTTGTGAGTTGGCTTTACAGCATGTTAAGAAAGTACCCTTCTGTTTACAGTGAAGCTGGGAACCAAGAAACCATGAGGAAGCCTATTCTAAAACCACGTGTAGAGGATCCTGGTGTTGGATGCGGGGAGGTGTCATCTGTCAAGTCGGCCTTAGATACCTCCCAGCTGTCAAATAATTTTAAAGGGAGAGAGAAAAAGACATGATTTACATACGTTCTACTTTTGCTCAGTGAGAATGAGAATCACAGAAATGGTGGGCTTGGTGGTAGGAATAGCAGATTATTCAATTGTCCAGGAGCAATGGGTTGGGAGGCTCAACACAAGAAACCAACAATCACAGCTTTTCTGTATTAACTATATGAGCAAGAAGGGAGGATAAGAATGAATTCTAGATTTTAATTATAATCATAACTAGCCTTTATTGTGTGTTTACTAATCATCACTTTATAGAAAGGTAGAGAGACTAACATTTTATATTGCTATCAAGTTTTGTTTTGTAACTTTAGATGAAAATCAGTTACCTCTATCAATCAGATGCCTCAAAGTAACTGTTACTTTTAAAAATCCACTCTCAACTTACACTTCTAATTGGAAAATTTCTCACTGCTCTCATTCTTATAGACACCATGTAGCCAAGAAGCTTAGGCTACCTTTCTCTAACTGCTGCTGTCTGCCCAATATCAAAACCCAAAGGAGAGTCACACATCAAGTATTTCCAAAGAAACACAGAATCAATTGATTAATAAACATGGGAGATAGAGCAAAAAGCTAAAAATAAATTTCAAAAGATTCAATCTCAAATGGAAACTGAATAATCAAACCATGGAAAATAATTTGGAGGTATGTTTTCATTTCTTAGATCACTTTGTCCATTTTCTTTAATTTACTCTTTAATTTATTCTTTAATTTACAAATATATGTAAAACATGATACTGAGATTGGTTAATTATAAGACTATAAGTAGGAAAATGAGTGACCTAATTCTTAAATAACTTTTGGCCAAACCTTTAGAAAATTGGGTCATGCAATGAAAGAAGGTAAAACTTATGCCACCTGCTGAACAGCATGCTTCAGCACTCTGCTAATGCCACTATAGGTTTCTTTCAGAAGTAGACAATTCTGTAAGAAATTTCGTTCTTACCCTCATCCTTCCATTCCTTATTGCCGGCCCGTCTTCTGCCAGTCTCAACACATACAGATCCATTTTGTATTCCCTTCCTCCACGAATGCTGAATCCAAATCCTTTGGCTCCTTTCTCCATGTCCACAGTGAAATAATCAAAATCCTTTCGGGTCGGGGAGAAAATGAAATGAACAATTGTTTAATATTAAAGAATCTTCTGTGGCCAGTCCCTCTGTTCACCTTCTTTCCCATGTAAGTGTGTTTCAAATGACATTGACATGGCATTGTGAGACATAAACTGACTTCAGCCTAGCAAAAGGCAAGACAAAGTTGCAAAGATTTGAGCAGATCAGAACACAATTTACCTGGTCATTGGAAGAACTACTTGTTTGGCTTGTGTAGCTTGTTTACTTTGGTGTTTATCAGTTTGCTTGGTTAACAGATAATTACTGAATATAGGCCTGGGTGATAATTCTCTTTCTTTTGAGTTTTCTTATTCATTGCTGTGGAGCAGCATAAACAAATGTACCAGTCCTGTGTATGTGCATATGTGCATGTGCGTGTGTGTAAATTAGAGGTTTGCTGATTAGGAAAATAAATGTTATGGGCTGTTACTACGACTCCCTGTGCATGAAACTACTGAATATCAGGTTGTAGTGTATACCATCAATTTGTCTTTTACATAAAATGCAGTATGTCCAAGATTTCCTGACTTTCACTGTTCTTAAAATTTGGGGTGATAAAGGTGATCTTTAATCCTAAATAAAATGCAATTAATTGGCTGTAGTTGAAATTGTATTTAATTTGTATCTTCATATCTAGCTGCCAGGTATTGAGTATTTATTAGATACCAAGCTCTGGTCTAAGTGCTTTTCAAAAATGTTGAGTCGTCACCATAGCCTGTAAGGAAGACCCTCCCTTCAGGAAACTGAAGCTCAGAAGGCTTATGGAAGTCTCCATAAGACCTGTCTAACATGAACAAACAATTGTAAGAGCTACTGTTGTGTAGACAAGGACTTGGTGCTTGTTACAGGCTGAGTGATGGAGCCAGGCCTGGCCTTACTGTTATGCACAGTTGGCTTGGCCCTTTACCATCAAATGGGAGGTAGGAAGCAGTGGAAATACTTATGGATCTAAAATACCTTCATTGTTGACATCTGTAAAAGTTTCTGCACTAGTGACACCCTCTAAGGTTCCAGATAGGAAAATTTTTTCGACCTTTGACAAGACAATATGCTGGAAGTTAGCTAACTAATATTAGCAAGAATTAGTTCATCCCATTACCACTCACCCACTGATTGATTGATTGATTGTCCTGCTTTATTCTGAAATAGATTTATTTATTGAGCGCGTTTTGAGGATGTGGGTGTTACCCAGATGATAATGTAACTAGGAATAGAACTTTGGCTGTCTATCTCAGAAGGGTGGTCTTTCCTCTGCCTCCCATTCTATTTCATTTTTTGTACTTCAGAAAGGCTTGGTCTTGGGCCTTGGATGATCTCATTGGCTGAGGTACCTGGGGCTGCCTGTAGTCTGACAAAGGGTACTGCCTGGTGTCGGGGGAGTGCTGCCTGTAGTCCAGCAGTGGAGGTTGCCTGTAGTCCAAGGGTGGGGGTTGCTGGTAGTCCCCTCCTGGGGGCTGCCTGTAGTCCAGTGGGGGCTGCCTGTAGTCCGTGAATGGAGGCTGTCGGATGTCTGGTTTCACATCTTGTCTTGCTTTTACTTCTGACCTGTAACTAAATAAATGGAAATGGGATTTATTCTGGTATCGCAGTATTTTAAGGCGGTAGAATGATCAATGTCCTCTGGGAATGTATGGGCCACTCCTCTTGTTGGTCTTTTTGCATGTTTAGGATTATGAGGTGAGTAAATAAATAATAAGTATTATTTTTCAACCTTTAACAAATACCATATTGTACACTTTTCATTTGGCTCTTTAAGATATCAAGGTGAAAATGATGGTTCAACCAGAACTTTGTGGAAAAGGACTTATGGATAACCCTTTTTGACTTTGGCTATTTAAAAACTGTTCAACTGCAGTGAATCTAGGGAGTTAAAGACCTAACTCTACATCCCAAAATATCAGTCTGCCTTAACACCAGTAAACCAACTCTCTTTGTTGCTCTGTTTCTGTCCGTCTCCCTTCTCCCCACAGCCACCCCCACCCCATACAAACACACACACAGCTCAGCAAACCATTACTTCATGAAAACACAATTGATATGATCTCTAGATACTCTACCAATACATAATTAAAGTTGATTTGAATCAGTTGGGTTTGGTCTTTTTGAATATTTTACAGAGGAGCAATAGTAAGATATAATCACAAACTACAAGTCAAGTAGAAAGTCACTGGGTCATTGCTAAGAATACAGACATATTATGTAGAATTTGAATATTAGATTACAGCTCTCAGGTAAGTAAAAGGTCAACAAATGGAAGAAAAGGCAAAAATATTTATGTTCAACATTTGTCTCTTTCTTGTTTCTAGATATTAGTTACTAACACAATTAATACAGAAACCAAACTGGTTGTTTAGTGCTGTTTTGTGAATCCAAACTGCTCTAAACTGAGGGAATTCCTAGTTACAAAGTGACTAAAATAGCCTATACGTACCATTATGGGTTCATGAATAAGGTAAACTGAAAAATTATCGCAGTAGCTTAGAGGGATACTCAGTTCTGTAGTTCATTGCCTATTGCCACAGTAATGGTCTATAATAAGCTACTTAGGGATATAGGTAGATTGAAAAATACATTCTGTATAATAACAATTATATTTAAAATTAATGTGGATGGTTTGAGGAATTGAGAAAATACAAGGGGAACCCCCCCCCAAAACCCCAGAATTTATTCGTTAAAAAGTGGTGTATTTATTCTTACATGTTTAAACTTCAATCACCTTCAAAGTACTCTCCGTTTGATGCAATACACCTATTGCAACATTGTTTCTGCTGCTCAAAACAGTTTTGAACTTATTGAATTTGATGCATTTTAGTGCTTCTGCCTTTTTTTTGTTTCACCCTTTCTACATCAGCAAAACGTTTCCCTTAGAGGACTTTTTTCATCCAGGAAAACAAACAAAAAAAATTTGCTCTGGACAAGATAGGGTGAATAGGGAGGGTGGGGAACAGGATCATACCATTTTGGGTCAAAAACTGCTGAACACTCAGTGCAGTGTGGGCAGGTGTGCTTGTAAATCACTCATCATGAAATGGGCAAACACACTGAAAGTCTTCCAAAAAAAAAAAATACTCACTGAAGCTGAACGTAGCCTCTCACAACACCAGCTGGTGCACTGATACAGATGGATTCTTAGAGCACTCACTCAGCAAGGGAAGCCTGTGCTGCAAGGGGGCCACCCTCAGGAAGATAATTCCTGTCTTTTGGGTCTCTCCTCGTATTTAGCATCAAGGAAAAAACTCAAACATGTCAGGAAAACATGTTCAAAACCAGCTGAGTTTTTACCTTTAAGAGTAGGTGGTTTCTTTTTTGTTTGTTTTACTGGCTTATGGTCTCACTGATGTTGATTATCTTGAATAGTTTTTAAAAGTCATTCACATGAACAATTGCAATTAGTGTTATCTAATTTGGTGAGGGCATATTGAAAGTATACAATAATAGATGTGCTTATTTGAGGTTTTTTGAAGGGGGTCGAAGGGGGTTAATAATGTAGTTACTTATTTATATTTATTATTTTTATCTTTTTTAGTGAATTTATTGGGGAGGCATTAGTTAATAAAATTATATAGGTTTCAGGTGCACGATTCCGTAATACATGATCTATAGATCGTATTGTGTGTTTCCCACCCCAAGTCAAGTCTCCTTTCATTCACCATTTATTCCCCTCTTTACCCTCTTATAATTCCCCCCACTCTCCTTTGCCTTTGCTAATCACCATACTATTGTCTGTGTCAATGAGGATTTTCCTTTTTTTGCTTAATCCTTCATCTTTTGCCCAGTCCCGCAACTGCTCTCCTTCTGACAGCTAGCAGTCTGTTCCATGCACCCGTTCCTCTGTTTCCATTTTGTTAGTTTATTTTGTTCATTAGATTCTACATATGAGTGAGATCATATGGTACTTGCGTTTCTCTGACTGACTTATTTCACTTAGCATAATGCTCTCCAGGTCCATCCATGCTGTTGCAAAAGGTAGGATTCTCCTCTTTTTATGGCCAAGAAGTATGCCATTGTGTAGATGTACCACAGGTTTTTTAATCCACTCATCTAGTGATGGACAGTCAGGCTGCTTCTAAATCTTGGCTATTGTAAATAACTGCAATGAACATAGGGGTGCTTATGTTCTTTTTGACTTAAGTGTTTGAGGTTTCTTTAGAAGTAATGTAGTTACGTTAATCAACACACTGAATAGGTCCCATTTGTTACTTAACTTGCAGAAGTGACTTTGTGAGGTACATAATTCAGGCTTCGCTTTGTACCTCAGCAAGTTGTCCACTTACCTTCTGAGAGTATGCATGCCAAGAACAGAACTATCTAACATACACTTTGAAGAAAATGCTTATCTTTGCAAATGCTTGAATTACATCAAAAGCAAAGGCCTGGGTGACACTTGGTGGTGTGTGTCAGTGCCTTTCTAGAAACAGTTTGCTTGGTGGTTTGGATGTCCCATTGTTTTAAGTCATAGCACAATCACTTTATTTTCATTATCTGTGTGGCATTGGCATGAAATATACTTTATGTGCTCTATTTCCAACCAGATGTGTCACAAGGCATAGCAAAAGAGAGTGAAGTGTAAGAGTCTCCCCAAAGATTACACAAATACTTAGAAATAGGAACACTTAAAACTTGCCAGCTGCCACCCACGTCTTCATTCCAGCACTCAAACTTCTTCCTGCAGCAGGGCCCTGTGTCAGGGGTTTATGTTGAACTGCAAACTGAAGAATTCTTTAATTAAGGAAAACGCTATACCACATTTTTTTTTTTTTATCAGTGTTGCTAACTTTTAAGTGAATGATACACTGGCTAGGACAAAAGTTATGTTGCTTTGAATTTGTAAAACACTCTATTTTAAGAAAAATTTAGATTATTTTTTAAAAATAGCATCTTTAAAGTTTCTTTGCTTATGACAAAATGTCATTCGTATAACTCTATTACTAAAGAGACAAGAGGTGATAAGACCAGATTGCTAGCGGTAAATTCTAGCAGAATGTTATGGTACAAACAAGTTTTAGAATCAAGAATCACTGCCTATGTGTTAGGGGATTTTATGGTGGGATATGACCTCATGTGGGCCTTTCAAGAATTTTTTTCAGCTTTAAGCATTCAAGGTTCAAAGTCTATGAAAGAAGTCAATTTCCAATGCTCTTCCACTGACCCTGCAATTTAAAACGCTGTCAAACATCAATTGCCCTTGCTGGGGAAGCTCAACTCTTGTGATATATTTCATAATAGCCCTTTTGTTGTTTTCAACAAATGCTTCTCCTTAAATAGTGTTTTGTTTATGTTCATATAAAAATTATTTTGTGTTTCCTGAACAAAAACAAAAAGGATGTGAAGGGACAGAGAAATGGGTAGACGTATGTAAGGTGTCAGCAGGAAACCAATCCAAGAGTAGATAAGACAGGACAAAATATTCACTCACTCTACCTAAAGCAATAAAAAATTGTAAGCAGATTGTCACTTTAACATGGGATCTGGCTTGATTTGACATGTACGTGGGCACTTCCTGTACGAATGAACTAATAGGAAATTTGTGCTGTGCGTTTGGCATACGAACTGTCTTTGAGATATCTCTAGCCTAGAAATAGGCAGAGTTTTCCCTGGCACTACAGTCATCTTTAAATGCAGTTAGGAAAATTGGTCTGGTATCTGTAAGATTATCGAATCTCCTCATTCATATGCAAATATAACCACTCACTACCAATCAGAGTTAAGGCAGGAAACCCGAATGCCACGGGAGGGTCCTAGAACTGGTGTGGGCATTTCTGAGGCTTTTAATACTATTAAAGCAAAAACAGCTACGAACTCTGGGCAAATTTGTTGGTGATTTATAAAAACTTGGATCAAGTCAATTTGTTAATACTAGAGTTAGAAAATTATTTTATTCTTTAGTCAGGCAACAATACACCCCAAAACTCTTGCTTCTGTGATGGGGCCTGAGTCCACGCGGTGAGCTTGTAGCAGATGGGGACAGAATAGCGGCCTCGTCCAGCTGTTATTCTTCCCATTGACCCAACACACACCTGGAAGCAAGAGCCCCTTTCTCGGGCAGTCTGACTCTGGAGAGGGTAAGCCAAGAAATATCTAAATCTGGCACAGATCCTTTCTCCTGAGCCTAAAATGAATTCTGAAGAGTCAGTACAATCTGTCCAAACAGCACCCGGTGAAAGCGAACACATCTGGGGCTTAGTACTCAGGACTTACTCCTCTTCTGGATTGCCAAATTCTTACCTTTGTATTACTGCCTTATGGGGCTTAGTCTTTTTACTTCTGTGGAATATATTATCACCATAAGCATCTGAGGACAACAGATATTCACTTTTCTATGAAAGCAAATGGGGGAAATCAGAATAGAACAGAGCTTTTTGGAAATAACACCTGAGGTCTGGGGAAAATATTTGCAGCATTCTGAGTGATGAACCTAGAGAGTTGTGGGACTCAAAAACTGGGCCTCACTTCATCTTCACCAACACAGGAGGCAAGAGATAGGAAGCAGACGCTCAGAAAACATTAGAAATATGGAAAAGACCTGTGAGGGATTTGTATTCAGAGATGTTCCCATGGGCTGTTCTATTTCTCTCCTTTGAAAGGGGAAAATAATGTAAATATGTCTCCATCTCTTTCTTTAAAGGCTCAACCTAACCCAGGCTCACTGTTCCACACAAGGCACAGTAAGAAGTAACATGGGGGCTAGGGGAAAAGGTGATGGGATAAAACACACACACACAAACTCGTAAGTACAGACAACAGTACGGTGATTATTAGATGGAAAGTGGGTTGGGGTAGGTAGAAGATGGTAAAGGGTGTATAAATGGTGATGGAAGGAGACTTGACTTGGGGTGGTGAACACACAATACAATATACCTGAAACCTATATAATGTTATTAACCAATGCCATCCCAATAAATTCAATTTTTTAAAAAATATAAAGTGAGTTTTATATAGCATCCACTTTTTCCTGGAGGTTCAAAGTGTCTTATTCATATTAGTTAACAATGTGAAATGGAAGAAACAAGTTAGATCATGGGTGGAGGATATAAGGTGAAATGCAGTAAAAATGCTAACGTTTATATGCGTATGAGTCCTTCAACATTTCCCCTTCTCCACACCACTGTTAATTCTCTAAGCCACAGCCGTTATGACGTTGGCAGCCATATCTGACGTCTTAACCTGTGTTCCCTCTGACCAGCCTTCAGTCTGTTCAGAATGGGAACAGACTGAGAGAGCTTGAAAAGCAAATCCAGTGATGTCAGTCTTCAGCTTAAAGGCCCTTAATGACTTCTTACTACACTTAAGATCAAAATCTTTAATATGCTTACAAGACACTGTAGGGCAGGCCCCACCACCCTCTCTGGCTTCATCTCAAACCGCCCTCCCTCCCCTCTGTTCCCTACATTGGCCCTATGTCCCTCCTTCAAGATTGCGGGCTCCCTCCTAGCAAAGGGCCTTTGTACATGCTCTTCATTCTGCCTGGGATCTCTTTAATGTGTTTTTCAACTGGTTAATCCCTATGTATCTGCAATTGTTCATCATTTCTTCAGAAGTTCTTGTGAAGGACAGACACATTTCCTAAGGAAAACACATTATAACATACATAGAATATCAAAATTATAGAATGGTCCACATGGTCATTTCTACTTCAGTAAAATCTCTCTCATACCTGTGTTCTGCATCATCCTCAACTCTCCCTACCCCCAGCTCCCTCACCTCAGAATCAGAAAAGCCAGAGGAAACTTTACCTATTTTCATGTCCTTGTAGCTGGAGTGGCTGAGGAGGCGCCGGCTGGGTGACAGGGCTGCTGGGGGTGGCAGGGCTTGGCTGGGCCAGAGGACTCTGCTGGGCCATGGGGCTCTGCTTCTCGGAGCTGGGTGCCGAGGCTGGGCTGTTGAGCTCTGAGATGGGAACCAAAGCAGCAAATGTGGTCAGGTAGACATTGAAAAAGGGAGAGGGGTGGCCAGAGGCCGATATTCTGTGCCTCCTCAGAAAACTCGAGGCTTTGGCTATTTCAGTTTCTGTTAGACTTTAAGACAGTAACTTAAACGTATCAAGTTCCAATAACTCTCACAGAATTAGTATGCTTTCCTTAATTGTAAGACTTGCTGAACAAAGTTATGAACAGCCTCCTGTCATTTTGTCAGAAGAAAAGATTACAATAAAAAAACCTGTTAAAGCAATGAAATAATTCAAAGGATTAAGCCCTAATACATATTCTATTTTTCTAGTAAGAAAGAAAACACTTAGCTACTACTTTTTGGTTGTAATGAGAAGTCTCGCCAGTATTCCAAAGTCTGGATAAGGAGCTAACTATAATAAAAGAAAATGTTTTCTACAATCTTTCTTCCAGTTCCTTGTTAGCCTTATTGCTTAATAACCCTCTGTATTCCATGGTTCTCCAGAAAGAAAAACAAAACTAAAACAAACAACCATTGGACAAAGAAAGGGAAATTAAGTTTTTGTTTGTTAAACTGCTTTATGAAATTTCTTGTAATAACATCAAATTTACAACTGAAATTATTTTTTCTACATTAGAATAGTGGGACAGACATATTTTAGATTGGGAAAATGGAGAAGTCAGATTTTTAGTGAGAAATCTTGTTTATAGTTAATTCCCACTGAATATTTCATACATAATAGTGTCTGCAGGTAGGTAAAAAAACAAAACCACAACAAAACAAAACAAAAACATGGTGGTCATATTCTGTCCCCCTTCTTCTTCTCCTCCTCCTTCTTCTTCTCTTTCTTTCTCTCTCTCTCCTTTTTTTTTTTTTTAAGTTGGGCCATAAAAGGGAGGTGACCGATTAGCATTTCCTTATAAACTACTCTTTCCCTTTCTTTTCTTACGGTTCCCAATTTTAAATTCCTTGTATCAGAGTTTCCCAACTTTGGCACTGTGGACATTTTGGGCCAGATAATTTTTTGCTGTGGGGACTGTCCTGAGCACTGTGTGATGTTAACAGCATCCCTGCCCTCTATCAACCCCAATCATGACAATCAAAAATGTCTCCTGACATTGCTAAAAAATTCCCTGGGGCACAAAATCACCTCAGTTAAGAACAACTGAGTTTTATGTTTAAAGCCAGGAGGCTGTTTGGTGACTGCTTATCAGAGTCCCAAGAGGGAATCATGAGGCTGAGTAAAACAGAGAGGACCACAGTGAGTAAGCCCATCACGGTGCGCCTCTGTCCATGTGGGATTCTGGTCCACTCACCAGCGAGCTACAGCAACTGAATTCTTGAATATCAGTAATGAATCAGCAGCTACAAAATGGTAATGAACGTATTTAGTCTAGAAATACCAAGCTTATGGTGAACTTTGTGGCCCCTTAAGGCACGGCTGGGAGTTGTGGTGCTCAGTACTCTGCAAGCTTTAGGGAGGTGTCCTTGTACAGAGAAATTCAAGAGGCTAAGTGGGAATTTAAAATTCTTATCAGATGCCACATTTTCTAAATGAGCTCTCCTCATACCACAGAAACTTCCTCAAGCTTTTCAAAATCAACCTGACTTTGAAGAATCCTCTAGAGCTTAACAGTTTACATGAATACATGGTTTTTTTCTTCAGATTTGTAACTCTGTCACCTCTGTTGAATGGGTGGTGGCTTAATGTAACCATAAAAACAATACTCCTAAGACCACAGGGAATGACTGAATAACCCAGTGTCATAGGCTTCACACTATTTATCTGTAATGTCACATAACTTGACCTCTGAATGAAACTGGTACTGGGTAAACAGGATATGAGTTACAACAGAAAGTGAATTTTTGCCACGGTGGAACCAACTGTCACCCTCGGACCCTCTGACACCACACTGATGGCAGCTGGGTGGACTCTATGACCTTCCCAGGCACTCACCCTCCTGAGGAATGATGCGAAGGGTGACACTGAGGCCTGCGTCCTTGATGAGCTTCACAATGTCTGCGTGAGGCATGTTGATGATCGACTGGCCATTCACTGCTAAAATCCGGTCTCCTACTTTCAGTTTTGCACAGCGATCTGCAGGACTCCCATCAATGATGCGTCCGATTTTATGGGGCACAGCTAAAAAGATACCCAACAGAAAGAGATTATCAGAGGCACCTCCAATACATGTTCTAGTTTTGAGTCCTCACAGGAAACAATGTTATGTCAGAATTCCTTCTTTGGTCAGTATATTTGCCTTTTGAAATCACAATCATGCCTATCAAATGCAGTCCTGCGCAGACTACAGAGACCAAGTCCTTCGCAGTGACAGGCCAGTTCCAAACACATGGACCAGGGGTTCTCACACTTTGGGGTATATTGGATCCACTTTAGGATTAAGCATACAGTTCTTTGAGCCTCACCCCGGACTTTGTGATTTGAAATGTCCAGGCAGGAGGTGAAAATCATGAATTGTTAAGAAGCTCCTGAGGAGATTCCAATATATACAAAATTTTGAGAATCATAGGCATAAAACACAGTGCCTACAGATTTCACACTCCAGAGACAATGATACGCAATTTCAGAAAGATACAATAAATGCCAGGAATTTAAGTTTTACCCTTTTCTATTTTACAGAGAGGGGAAAACAGGAAATATATATATGTATATATGTAGGCTGTATTTGGCTGGTCAAGAAGTTATGACCAACTATCCACTTATCCACTAATCTTCAGTTTAAACACTGATGCAGTTTTCAAATCTTAACTCTCCTTTCTGATATAATTTATTAAGTGGTGCTGAGGTCTTGATAGTATCTGACTCATAATGTATTTCATCAAATCTGAGATACCATTTATGACATGACATACCTTTATTTTATAAGGAAAAAAAGCCAATTCTGCCAATTAAACAATGACACTCAATTGACTCTAAGATACTCTTTAATTTTTAAAATATTAAAATACGAAAACGTATGTTTGCATTGATGAAATACAGCATATATCTCTTGAAAACAATGAAAATTTCTTTCCTTTTGTATTATTTATTTATGTGTGTGAGGAGAGCCAGCTACACGGGGATACAGAGTTTTCTAGCAGGGTGACTTTTGTTCAGTGTAAATGGTTGAGTTCTGACCAGGATGGCTAGCTGGGGTCAGGCAGCTGGTACACAGTGTACTTGTGACCTCCCTCAAGGGGTGCACCATCTAAAAATCTGTTCCCATTCCTTTGTTCTTTCGAGACGAGAGCCCCTACCAGGCTATCACTGTCAGTGACTCTGTGTTGTTGCCCTCCCATGGGAGTGAGGTATTGATTTAATCTGCATAAAGAGGCAAAGAGACACTATACCATTCATTATGCTCCAGGGATGTCTGGTCCTTGAATTCTTAGTCTGTGTATGTGTTACAGTGAAAGGCAAAAGGTTGGCTAATAACCACGGTACAGAAGGACAAGTGAGTTAATGAACTAGCACCCTGATCAGACCTCGATTGCGAAAAGTTATAGATAGTATATGAAAATATTGGCTGAACCTGTGTCTCTGAAGTGAAACCTATCATGTTGGAAGCTCAAACACATTTTTATCTACCATGAGCACCAATAGCTTTAGTTAGGAACACCTTACTTAAAACATATTAATGATCATCTTAGAATCTTAGGACAATAGATTTCTCAAGAAATGCAGTAAGAACTCATTCACCTACTTATTCTTAAAAATGACATAAGTATTGCAAGTTGTTTCATCTTCAACCAAAATTAGAGTGAAATTTCATTTCTGTTATTGCCCTCATTCATATTTAATAGGGTCCTGGAACAGTCAATAAGTGCAGTTTCCTTGGCCATAATGTACATGTTGTTATGTATGCTGTGACCTTTGATAAGTTATCTGACTTTCCTGTGTTTCTGTTTTTCAACACTAAAATTGAAATGATAATATTATTGATCTCAAAGGATGGTTCTGAAAATTAAATAAATCATATGTAAAGTGACTAGAACAGTGCCTGGCATGGAAGCATTGACTTATAATTATTGTTTCTTTCATTATGTTTATTAATATTATCTTTTTTATGTCTCTGATATCACTACTGATGTGTCTGTGCTTGTGTGAGGGTACCAGTTTGAATTTCTTCTATGTGGGATAAACCTGTAATACTGCTAAAACTAAAGCAATGCTTGTTTACTGCAGAACAAAACCCCTAAGTATCAATCAGGAAAACTGCTTCATATGGGAAAGAGAGATATCTTTTAGGGATCACCTAGACACCAGATGAGGTCAAGAATCCTGTTTGTTTTCCTCTGGTTTCACACACACACACACAAAAGATGTTGCAGGTCTCTGTAGGAAGCACTAACTTGTACATAAACAGTTTATTATTCACTGGGATATCAGCATGTTACAGAGCTCTTCATTAAGTAGTTGAGCCTTACACTCATGTGCATGTTAACCCTTAACAATCATGTGAGATACCTGATAGCATTACCATTGCATGTTTACAGTGGAAACAAAACAAAGCCATAAAGTGATGAGCAATGTGCCCAAGGTCATAAAGGCCAACAGGACTTAGAATCCCAGCCTGCCAGATTCCATTGCCTTTGCTCTTAGCCAAGGTACCACACTGCCTGCCTGGACTTTACCGTCTCCTCCCTCCACTCCAGCACATGCTTCATGAGCACCTGGTGCTTTTATCTGGTGACTACACCCTGCCTCTAAGCAGAGCATCATAAACGCTTCACCAGTGGCCCTGATCCAGGGGAGAGTAGGAGGTAGGAACTTGGCTTGAAGTGGAGTCTTTGCAGCAGCTGTCTTTTGATAGGCAGGCAGGAGTAGGTGAAGAGGGGAGTAGAGTGGAAGAAAAGGGAGAGGAGGGGGAGGGAGGGACAGTAAGGCTGGACAGCTCCTCAGATCCTTTTTGGTCAGGAGTTCACATTATTGTGCCATTCCTTTATTTGAAGTCATTTCTTTGGGCAGTAGGAACATATTTGAAATGAAATTTTAAACTACTGTTTAAAACACACAGAAATGGTATTTGGATGATTTGCTGTTTTGGATTAGACATGCCTCTGCTCCCCTCCATTATTGTAGATCACTTAGAAATAAGTGTATCTACTGCAAATAAAACCTTAAATGTTGCAAAACAAAGGTTTCACAAACACACACACACATACACACACGATCACACAATTTTATGTAATCAACAACAAAAAACAACAACAATAAGTTATGATTTGTTAATTTCCAGGCATTGTGTTAGGTACTTATGTTAAATCCTCAGGGCAACAGTGTGAAGTAGCTGTAAAAGTGTAATAATCATGCTTATTTTATTGTTAAGAAAACAAATAGGTATCACAGCCAAGATTCAAATCTATGCCTCTGGCTTCAAACCTTGAAGTTACTCTCTTCTTTTTTTGACATGTAGCAGGTTGAAAGCAATTTGAATTATGAAGAGCGGGGAAAGTATTTATGAGACCTAGCTTAGAAAAGCATGCTACTTGAGGTTTCTAGATAAAAGTTCATTGTAAATGGACTTTCTTGCTTAACAATGGTAACTCTTAGTTTCAAGGCCATTCTGATTTTATTAGGGTATGTAGAGTAAAATCCCAAAGAAAAGAATGAAAACAGAAATAAATTCTCTGGTAGCCATATAGAATGACTGAGTGCTTACCTAAAATCTAAGTGAGTAAACAATTTAAAAATGTATGTGCATAATTGGAAGCACCCCATATAGCTTTAATAAAATTGTTTTCTATTGGCCTTTACTTTAATAAAAACAGTACTTGAAATGCTTGGCAGCTGAAGACAACCTCACTTTTCCTTTAGAAGCATTTTCCTTACATTTGTAAGTACATAGAATGTTGATGTAGAACGAATCACTGACAAGGTGTGTGCTAAAAGAGGATTCTCTCTGAAAACAAGAAGCAGTTCCATTTGCTCAGTTATAAGGTCTAGATTGCTCATGACCTAAGTGCTTTCTGTGCATCGCTAATGGAATTACAGAGCCTGAAAGAGGCCTTGACCTTGGTTTCTATTATTGGGATGAATGGCACTCATTAATTCTCTGAGAACTGATGACTAAGGTAACCGCCTGATCGCAGTGCATTTAGATGGTGTGCCTTCCAGACATCACCTGTCAGGCGGCAACATAAATCAAGTCTTTGCATCAGGCTTCTTGACACAGTGTGCTTAGGGTATACAGATAGTTGGGAAAAGTTGCAATATGTCTAAGGTTTTAGACACACTGACGTTTTGGAAGGAGACAATTTATCACTAGTTAGAAATTTCCCTTTAATTGCAAATCATATAAATTATGGAAAAGGAAACCCATCTTATCAATTTTTTATTTCTTTCTGGGTAAAACACTACCGCACATTTATACTGCAGTATGTTTTATATTTTCTTGTAGATGAGGTGACTCTTTTGGCACTGCTCAATATATCACACTTGTTTTGGTGAGACTATCAGAGACACTCAGTTGACTGGATGCTCTCTAACTTCATTCTAAAGGTCTGAATTTTTTGGGTCCCCAGCCACACCATAACAGAAAGCAATGGCTCTCCCATTTTGCTATTGGGTTCTCTTCTGGGAGCTTAGTATGGTCTATTCAGACTCCTTTAGCCATCGGTCAACCAAAGAGTTCTGATGGAGTTCTATCTTGGATCAGTTCCCATAAACAAGATGGACGGTTGCCCAAGGATTTTCTTGCTTTGGTGATGGATTCTTCCTTAAATTCTCAGCTACACCTGAGGGAAGGGGAAGGAGTAGTTGATCCCTCCATGTGTTTTTCATGTTTCCTTGTTGCTTTATATGTATTTCATTTCAGAGAAGGAAAAGTCTGTGACTCATATTTACATTTAATTGTCTCCTTGTTAATAGATCTTACACAGCAGAGGTGTGTCTGGAGGAAAGCCTGAGGGAAATGGATTCTGCATCAATCATGTCAAGTGAGAAATTTCTAAGATGAGTGTGACAAAAATAAATACTTCGAAAGCAATCAATAGCATAAACCCTCATTGGTTCACAATTCCACTAATTGTGAAGGTTAAACAACATGTCATTCACTTAAAAAGTCAAAGAAAGTTAGTTTGGATTTTGATTCTGTGACCTGATATAAAAAGAATTTTTAAGTGGATGATTCCATTTGACTT